AAATGACTGATGCAAACTGAATCATGTGGCTGCTTGCTTGGAATGGAGTGTGGATGGGAATTGGGGAGAGAAAGGGGGACACAGTGATTGCTGCCCTGCTTGCCACTACAGAGGAGTTACTTGTGTCTGCACACATACCCAAAACCTGCTGCTGAGGGTCAGGGACTGTTTAGAATGGCACGGCATGGGGGGCTGAAGTATTAGAGGGAAACAGGTTAAACTGAGGCAAGGGCCATTGCACAATTGGGCACTTACAAGGAGCGCTGCCTACATTTAGCTAGTTTCCAGTGCTGCTGCAACCTCCTTCATAATCCCATATTATGTTGTCCTGGAGGGTCACCCAACTGTCAGTAGCAACTTTGTTTGGTGTGTCGGAGGATGGATATGGAGGTTCCCTTGTAGAAGCACCTTTATGCTTATACCTCTTTGGATAGAGTTCATAGCACAGAATGAGAAACTATAGCTTATGCCTGAAGCTTCTGCAGGGAAGGACAAGCCAAAACTCCCTGTTCAGCCATCAGAGTAAGTAAACCATGCACAGGGGGACCAGAATTTGTTCACTTGCTGCTGCGTGCTGTGGAAGCAAACTGGCAGCTTAAGCGAGCATTATTTAGAATGATCTTGCATGCAAACTAGGCTATGGACTTTGGGTGTTGTAACCTCTGTTATGGCATACTAGATGAAATAAACATTTTACTCAATATTTCACTTTAGGAATCAGACAGATGAACAAAGTGGAATAATCCATATTAGTACTGGCATCAAACTCATCTTGACCTAACGAATGTTAATCACTGGGAACATCTTCAGTTGTATCTCCTGATTATCTTGCATTTTACTGATGGAGTCAAGTATTAAGAGTAACCTTATTCCCCTTTACAGAACATAGTATTCTCAACAGTGAAGTACTTTCCTCTGATTCTCATTTCCAACCACACATTTAGAATGCACAGACAGGTGTAGTTACATTAATCATTCATTACTTGTGTTAATTCATTTTGCAGGCATAACTCAAGTTCCCTTCAGAGCCACTTAATGGATCACAGGCATAATAATTTCAACATAATAAATAGCATAAAACACATAATACATTATCTCTCTTATGAGCTGAAGTCCCACTCACTGCTCTTCTTCTGCTCTACAGAAAGTTAGAAAACATCTATCTATACAATAATGAACTGCCAAGTTCTGCACGGACAAGAGATTTGCCAAATGTAAAATATGAGCAAGAGCTAGCTAATTTTGTTTGAAAACTCAGAGGTTAAGAAACATGCTGTACTCAGGCTGCATTCAGACAACATGACAAACCAAGGTTGTTGTTGTTGTTGTTTACCATTGTTGATCTGTTGTGGTGTCTGAACACAATCATTTCACTGTGGTAAGTTTGGTCATCAGAAACTATAATAAGAAACAGTGGTTTGTTCTATGGTTTCACCTATCACCATGGCTTGCTATGGTATCTGAACACAGGAGCATAGTTTCCATGGACCTGGTATGCAACTGCCAGAGTCCTCTGGAAAAGTGGCAACCACAGGAAAAACTGCAACAATCCAGTACCAATCCATGTGTGGACCAATGAAGAAGAGGTAGGCAACATAATGATGCATCTTGGAATTGAATTTCAGGCACAGCTGCTGATAGGGTATGTGCAACAAGTGGAGAATGGAAACCATGATAATACAGAAACCATTTCATTATCTGTCAGGCATATCTTGGTAAAAACAAACAAACAAACAAACAAGCAAACATGAACCAAGCTTACCATGCAGGGTTGCTTGTTGTGCACAACCTCACTAAAATTCTAAATGTTAAACAACCTTTGGAGAAGGTAGAGTATAGAATATTATCCTAGATTTGCATTATTCATTTTTTTAAAAGTAGATTATAGAGAACCCTTCCTAGGACACTTCATTCTGCTGCTCTGTCCCTTGTAATCCTTTATGTGGTGACAGACTCAGCCCTATAGGGTAGGGACACAGAGGAATACTCAGTTTCTTTAGGGCTTTGCTTTATTGGGCTTTAGTGGCAATAGGCAGATTAGTGGTATTAAAATGGAGGTATGTACAGTTCTGTGAGATAGTTCCCAGGCAGCAAGATGCTGAAATAAATAATACTTCCCCAAGCCACAGATATTTGGAATGAAATGGCATTCTTCTGTCTCATTTCACCTTCAGTTTAAAACATGAAACTTGTTGCGATAAAACAAGAAGGTGATGAATGCAGATTACCATTTGATGAGTGGCAACTTGATAGCTACTGCCATACATATATAAACAAAGTTTGTTGTCTTTATTGCCCCACCAAGTAATTAAGAAAAAACTCAATTGTATTTGATTAAAAAACCAGGGAAAAATGGGACAAGTAAGCTTTTTCTTACTACATGCTAACTACAGTAGAAACAACTAGTTTACCAAGTGTTCAGTTTTTTAATCCAATAAATTATCACTCACCAGTGTTCAACCAAATAAAAACCACAAACTCACAAACTATTACATAGTAGCATTACAGGCAGGCACATAGTCTCGTGTAACTTTTTAGGTTTAGGGTTTCACCTTCTATATCTGAGCAAACTGTGTAACCATAACGTAGCATTTTTCTTTCCTGCCCCTTACTATCCTCACAAGTGTTTTCCGGGCTTTGTTAAGTGACAGTGACAAAGGCATTCCTTATTTCTCATTTTTTTTCCAAAAAAAAAACCTTGATATATGTAGCTTTTTTCAAATATTTCAAGGATATGCAACTTGATGAAGCAAAATCAGTCACTAAAAATGCTCTTGGTTATGTCCCAGAACATTAATCTTCCACAAATATATAAGTCTTCTGGAATTATCCCATAACCTTCCTCCAATAAAGACATTGAAATAGTTGTCTTCCATGCTTTTACCTGCTTTTCTGTCAAGAGTGCACATGTTACAGTTCCAGCGTGCTGCACTCTGCATAATCCTCATATTTCTTATATTTAATGTTGTTAGTTTCTACTGATGTATTGATAAATTAGCATAGTTAATTATTTATAAATTACTAGTCATGTTCCAGATGGATGCAATTACTTTGCAATTCAGCATTGCTTTCTACCCCTATTTGTTTAACATGATACATTTTAACCAGAGGCATTTTGCATAGATGCTATCTTGATTTAATGGCACAAAAAGCAATATATCCTTACCAAATGCTTGATTATATAGATGATTAGTGGATTTTCTGCCTCTGGAGAAACTGCATGTATGTTGTGTCACTGCCAATGAGTCATACTCACTTTTGAAAATAAGAATGTTCTAATCATCATGCAATCTAGCTTCAGGAGAAGGTTTCTCTTCTATCTCAAAGCTTCACTTGGTTCTCTTCTGCCCATTGTTTAAAAACACATGAAGAATGCAATTCCATTCACACAATCAGAAAATATGTTATGTGCATCGGAGCAGCACATCTTTAACAAATACCCTATTCATTTCAAAGGAACAGCCCAAATAAATAGTTCAGTTTTCATATTTCCAATCAAATCAGTCCATGTCTCTGTTTGTCTGTGTTTTAACATTTTTGCAGACATATTCTGCTACAGTGTATGAATTAAAGCTTACTGACACTCGTTTCGTTGGTGGTGGAGATAGGCACAGTTCTACTATGTTTCTTGCTCCAATAAGAAACTGTGAATCCATATGAATCCCAGACTCTTCCTCTTTCCTTTTACCAAATCATAGGTAGTTGGTGGGGAGGCAGCTTTACACATGAGGTTGGGAGGGCCATGTGAGGATGAACATAAATGTTCATACAAGATACTCCATGAGTGGAAGGAATCAGCTGAATATTTTAAGGACTGATACACAAGTCTCCTTAATCCAAGGATCACCAAACTTTTGGGAGTGATGAGTACATGTGGATTATTGATTCAGTGTTGTGGGTGCTTCCACAGAATCGTTGTCATGGAGAGAGACTTTCCTATTTGTTAAATGGTTGTCACAAAATGTCTGCCTAAAAAGGCAAACTGGCGAGACTAAAAGAAAAATAACTTGCCCAAGAGCCTAAGTACAAGACAGAGGTTGGGAGGGGTCTGGATTACAGAATCATTCTAGAATTCAAATGCAGTGGTGCTGGAAGGCAGTCTGTTACTTTGCACTAAGCCACATGCACAGGTTGTTTGCTTTTTTAAATACAATTTAAAAATTAAGCAAATAAATATAAGTTGGGGAAAGAAGTTTGATGAGTATGGAAAGCTCCTTGGGCACCATATTGGACACCTCAGTATTCAACCATTATCAATTGTTCAGATTCTACCTACCCATATCCCAGTTTGTAACATTGTAGCCGATACCTCTCAGTCATTTGATCCAAAACTGGCTGAGGAAAAACAAAATGAAACTACTTCTTTTCTTTCTACTACACATTGCACAACTGAGCAGCAACTCTTCTTGGATTTATTGTTGAGGTAATAACTAATTTTCAGTAAGGCCTTGAGGTAATTCCTCTTTTTATCCTTGTAGCGAGGATCTTCTTTTTTCCTTCCCACACTCAGGTCATTGCCTGGAGAATGAATGTGACTTTGCTAGACTTGCACCTTAAGATTTCTGGCATCAAGAACAGAACAGAGACTTGAACGTCTCTGCTCACCTCATACACCCAAAGCTATTAAGCTTTGGAGGGGTGACCCAGCTAGTCTCTCTTGGAGCATCTCTGGATGTATGAACAGAATCAGTTTACAAAATCACTAGGAGCAAAGGAGGCATGATAGTGTCCACTGTCTCCAAATTGCATGAATATCTGCACCAGATCTGAAGCAGGCACTTAACTAAAATACACACTGATGCTGATATTTGAACAATGGTGTGCCTCATATTAAATCAACTGGAAAATAACGATACAGAATTCATGAAAAAAGCACAACCCAAAGAATAAATGTTTATAAATCCATAAGAATAGAGCCCTTGTTAAAGATTTATCACAAACATTGCAAATGCTTCACAGCAGGCCAGTAATAAAGAGTTCTTAGAAATGGTGGCTCTTACCAATTGCTGTCCTTGTACACCCCATGCAGCATACTGTAAAACTGAGTCCTCTACTTCCGGAGGGTTTAACTCCCAAACTTCCCTTGAAAAAAGGGAAACATTTTACTTGAATACATTTGCACCATTATATTGCACAAAATAGCATCTATATATAACATTATCTTACCTTGTATGTATGTTATATATCACATATGAAGCTGTATAAGAATAATGAAAAACCTGTAAAACAAGAATGAACAAAACAGAAATGAGCATCTTCATGGATATATGCAGAAAGCTGGGCTTGGAAGGCAGCTTTTACTTGTTATGTTGATATCCCATTGCCCAAAGCAGAGGTGGACAATCTTTGGGTGCTGGGTGCTGTATGCCAAAATGGCCTGTGTCCTTTTTATCTCTCTCTCTATCTCTCCATTAGTTTCCATTATTTTACTTTCAGCTATTTATTTTATGATGATTGCCTTCTCCTCAAATATGTTCAGTAACTTCACCATGTTAATCAGGCAATGAAATGTGGGATTTTTTCTTAAAAAAATGTGTGGTAAACAGTTTAGAGATACATGGGTTTGCTTCAAATACTTTATTTCCATGATTTCCCAATCTTCCAGAACCTTATCCCTTGGGGAGGAGAATGGAGATATATTAGAAAGACTATTGCAATCTATCCTAGCCACATGGTCTTAACTTTCAAATGCAATCTCCCCAGAGTAAGGTCCGAAGGGGCAAAGGAGGCCACTGGCCCCAGCCTACTGCTGCTGCATGACAACAGGTCACACCATCCCACGCAAATGACTGTCCAGTTTTTCCTTGAATAGCTCTAGTGCAGGATAGCCCATGCCCTCATTTGGCAACCGGTTCCATTGTCGTATTGCTCTGACGGTTAAGAAGCTTTTCCTGGTGACTAACCTGAATATGGTGTGCTGTGTAAGGCCATCATAAAAAAAGCTGCTCCCATATTGCTGTGGGTATCATCAAAGGGTAACTACTACCGCAGGTAACTATTACTTGACAACTGTGTAGCTTACAGTAATTATTGTTGTGCATTCTGAACAATTTTTAAGGTAACACTACCATGTACAAAAATGATGCTTGAAATCAGAGGAAAATTGAATACTCATTCTAGTAAAGTGATCTTTCTAGTGATGAATGTGGAACACAGAGATTTATTTATAAAGATTTATTTATAAAGATTTATAAAGAACATGCCTTGAAGTATTTGTTTAGTATTCATAAAAGGTTGCTATTAGTTCATTTATAGCAGATATTTAACAAATATACATTTCTTATCACATATATACTAGTTGTTTTCAACCTTTAACATATTTTTAATCGGGTATATATTAATGTATTTTATATGCCACTTAATTCTTCCTTCTTCATTTTCAGGGAACACGCTTTTAAATATTTATGAGGCTTTTGCTGAAAGTATCAGTTATAAACTGGAAAAAATACAGGTATTAGAAAACGTAACCTACACAGATGTCCTATCCTTTTGTCTTGGCCTTTCGGTTTGCAATTATGGCTGGAGTCCAACTAGTCTTGTCCTGCCAATGGAATGTAAGGGAAGGGAAGCATTTTAGATTCTAACATGGGGAGTAGGGATTGCATGAGGGTTAAACTGCTCTCACAAAAGCTACGGTCTGTTATAAGGTTATGCAAGGGTCACTTAATGCTTGCAATCCCTTCTGCCTGGTCTTACTTAACATATGGCGCAAGTCATGGCAACTCCTGCCCAAGGCTTGCACATTCAGAAGGTGAGAGTGAAAGACGGATTGTTTGTGTCCAACAGAAACACAAAGAGGAGATGGAGCAGCAACTGCCATGTTACTGCATGTTAGCTTCTTTCTTCTTTTTCTTTTTTATTTCATTACTCTGGGCAGAAGTGAAAGGTGTAAAGTTCAAATAGGTACAAATATGAAATTATGCAATATAAAGACATGAGACATTAGGAAGGGACTTGAGTAAGTGGGCCAGAGCTAGAAGTATAAATTTGGCCTCAACCGCTTTTGGCACATATAAACATCTCACTAGTATTCAGAACAGGTCTCATACAGCAAAAATCCCAGACTTGGTTGATGCTAAGCTCACACTTCAGTTTTATAAAACCCAACACTTCAAAATCCAAAATAAATCTTGCCATCACTGGAATTCTGTGACAAATGAATCCTGACTATATTTGACTACAAATTCTGCTTCTGATCAGAATTTTTTCAAGGAATAAGGCAGAATAAAGTATAAGATAAACAAATCTGGGAAAAAAATAAAAAATATCAAATTCCCTATTATTTCAAATCCAATGACCAATTTGTCCACCTATATGTGTAATATAGAGACCTTACTTGAAACCTACATGGATTAGTTCTGATGGACTATTCATTGACCATTTGACTATTGAGCTAAAAAAGTAAAACTCAGATGAACACACTGAATATTTGCAAGATGTAATTTGAGTTCTAGAAGAGAGGGACAGGTAAGGAAAGCCTTGGCAATGACTCAGAAAGCCACATTCTTAAACCAAGGATAAAAAGCCTCCTCCAAGAATCTATTGGTTCATTCTGTTCACACTACAGTGCAATGTTCTTTACTTATTCAGCTTTAGCTTACATATATATGTGAAACCAGTAGGACTGCAGTGTAAAGAAAATAGAATCAGCACTTAATTTACTCAGAGAATTTTCAAGCAGCAATAAAAATGACTTATTCTTTTTTTTATTCTGTCTAAAGGAGATCTGTAGCTTTCCTGTTACTAAAACATTGGATGCAGTTAATAAACTGGAATTAGTAGCAGCATGTCAGTTGCCTATGGCAATGCAGAACTGATGGATGGTAGGAAGAAAACCTTCAGCCCAGTTCACAGTGTATCTACTAAATAAATTAGTAGGACCATCAATAACAGTACTAAAGTTAACGTTCATTTCATGGTGAAGCACATTATCATGATAAAATGCAGCTCTTGGAGTGGTCAGACTGCATTGGTGCAGTAGCCTCGTGGGTATGCAGCTTTCTAGAATGAAACCGTACCTTGGTGAACTTCAGTATCTTCCCATGGAGATTAGTTTCTACGACAAAACTATTCCACGGCAGGTCATGATTTATGACTGCTTTGGAAATGAATACTTACAATTTTCCAAATTCATGTTACATTTATATCCCATCCTTTTCTCTTTTGTAACTAACCAAGACAAATTACATAATACCCCCCCTCCATTTTATCCTCATAAGAACCCTGTGAGGTAGGTCAGGCTGGGAGTTAGTGACTGACTCTGTGTCACCCAGCCAGCTTCATAGCTGGGCAGGGAATAGAACATGGGTCACATGAGTTCCAGTCCCACACTGGTTTTCTTTGATAGTAGCTGACTTAATTCCCTCTGTCTTACAATACAGAATTCTCATTTGTATTCTGAATTCCTGCTTGTTAGTATATTTCTCCTTGATAAAAAGAAAAGGCATAAATCAGAATATTCAGTATTTAGAGCTCTTGCATTTATATAACTTGACAATGTAAGCTATGACCTGAAAGACCTTGTACAGCTATGAACTTCCAAATTCCTACATGGATTTCATTCATAAGCTGTTGTTGTTGTTGTTGTTGTTGTTGTTGTTATTATTATTATTATAACATTTCTATGCCGCCCCTTGCCGAAACCTCGGGGCGGCTTACAACACAATAAAATACATTGAAATACAATAGAACATAATAAATTACCATTAAATACAAAAATACAAAAAATACATTGAGTTACAAATATAAAATTAAAATTATCAGTATAAAATAAGTAAATAAAAATATAGGAGGAGAAAAGAGAAGGAAGAAGAAGTTGCCCTGGCCAGATCATATGTTTTAACAATTAAAATGATGTTTAAATAAAAAGGTCTTTACCTGGCGCCGAAAAACCAGTAACGACGGTGCCAGGCGGACCTCTTTGGGGAGTGAATTCCATAGGCTGGGCGCCACCGCAGAGAAAGCCCTCCTCCGAGTACTTACTCTCCTAATTTCTTTCATGGAGGGTTCCCGGAGAAGGGCCTCTCCCGCAGATCACAAAGGGTGGTTGGGCATATACGGACGTAAGCGCTCGTTCAGGTAGCCAGGACCCAAGCCGTTTAGGGCTTTGTAGGTCATAATCAACACGTGTATGGACTGTCATTATGTGTACTAGCAGTCCCCAGCAGATGCCAAATGCTTGTAATAATGAGATGCTTTTGGTACATATTTGGAGAACTCAGAGTTCCTGGTCTCTGTGTTACTGAGGCCAGGATACTGAAAAAAAAACTGGTCAGTGGACTACAGTCAAGGACCCATTCATGTATTTCTACTTCCAAAGGTAATGGCTAAGCTCGTTTGCTTTTCCATCTAACTTTACTTTCCTATTGATGTTTAACCAAAGTAAGAAACCTAGCCTGATGTAATCTTTACAGCAACCCAGTAGAGCAGAACTATCCCAGTTTTATTTAATTGTTTAATTAATGTCCCCCACATTTTGCTGAAATGGTATTCAAGGTACCTAACAATACATATGGATCCTTTTTGCTAAACTTGGTTCTGTGAGCTGAGTTCTCCCTCCCAGAAGTCTCACCAGCTTTTCTTTGCGTGTACATATTTTACATGTAAGTCTCTGAGCATATACGAAGTGAAATGTTGAACTCTCCTTGGCTTTCTTCACCCAAAGCTTCTCTTATGAACCCTTCTGTCCCTGTCCCTGGAGGGAGGCGTACTGTGGAACCAGGTCCACATTCGCTCCTCCCTTTGAGATCCCAATTGGGCCATCCTGTGACAATGCACGGTTGAGTCCACCTCCGCAGTAGGCTGGAGTCCCCCACTGGATAGACTCCCCATCTCTAAATCTTTCCCCTCAGAATGTTCTGGGTCCCATGTTGCCCTAGAACTAATGTCTAATAATAACTAATAACAGCCATTACCCAAGGCCTTGGACTGCAGCTGGAGCTGAGTCCTTTTCAAACTGAACTTGAGCCCTGCCAGGATAGGCCAACTCCCCTGTACACATCTCATTCTCAGAATCTGAGCTGTCATTCAGCTTCTCGTGCATGCCCCTGAAGTTTGCCAGAATGTGTAAGCAAAACACTGGGTAATGTTGGATGCTAATTATAATAACACCTTGAATGAGAGCTATACAATGCATTTCTTCCCAAAATATTATTTGTTAGTAAACTACATTAATGATGTCTCATTTTAGGTAGTGTGATAAGATGAATATGATAAGTGC